ACTTGACTGCCCTGACTAAAGCTGGGAGTCAGGATGAGCCTGTCGTGTAACCCACAGCCCATTTCTGGGGACTTCTCAATCAATGATCCCACCCTTCCTGGAGTGTCAGCCAGATCATCAGTCGTCCTCAGGTGGGTGGGACATGGGGCCAATGCCCTGGTCTTCAGAAATTATGGCTGGTGCAAAATCTCCAGGGGCTGATGATCTTCTGCAGCTGAGGCGTTTCTGAAGGGTGGATGCCACCGTGTTGGATTTTGTACCAAGTGATGAGGTTGGGATGAAGTCAGTAAGACGCTAAAAGGCCATGTCTGCGGGGGCTTTGTTTGCCTTTCGACCAGTCCTTCCTGCATGACTGCCAGAAGGGGCAAGACAATCCCCGGGACTCCCCAGACCCGTTTTTCTCGAGTCACCCACGACCCCTGTTTTCTCCCCCAGCAGAGTATCTTTCACATTTGTGTGCCCAGCGGCTAGCACAATGCCTGGCACACAGTAGGTCCTTAATACCTTGTCTTTCATTCAAAATCCATTTCTCAAAAACCTCAGGGAGGAGACAGGGTGGTGGTCACTGTTAGAGCATAACAGAATTTTGATCATACAACTGGGACTGTCAGATGTGGACTTTGATTCTGGAGAGATCCTCACTTACCTTTGGAGCCCCAGAGAGCTGCCATAGATTGCCAAGATTGGCAGTGATACAAGGACTGGATGGATAAGCTCAGTAGGGTGCTGGCTCCAGTTTGGGGGGCGGAGGGGGGGCCCTTCGAGGTCAGCAGTGAGATCGGGACTCCCGTCTTCCCACACTCCAAGCCTGGTGCTGTGTCCACTTCTCAGCTCTGACTGGGAGTCCCTAGCTCCCTGCCCCATCCGAGAGAGGGCCCTTCCTGAGGTCAGTGCTGTGTGGTGTCTCCTGCCTGCCATCTGCTCGCCTCTGCAGAGGTCACAGACTAAGGGCGTCAAACATCACAGACGCCATCAGAATCAGGCGATGTGTTAATTTGGCTGAAACGCTTTTATTCTTTGTTACAAGAAATAGTTTGCTGGGCAGGAGAGGGAATTGCTCAGTAGTAAAGGGGATATAAAAACAAAAAGATCCTTCATTTTTTTAAGGTGTTTGGGCACATGGCAATTGCTGTCAACTTAGCTTAATTATTGGCAGGGTGGCTGAAGAGGGGGCCAGTCACAGAACAGGACCTGCTTTTCGAACCCCTCTTCCTCCTCTTAGCAAAGAGGGCTGCGTCTCTGAGCTAAACCCTCTGTGGGAACTGTGCTACCTGACTCAGGGAGTGCTTGGTTTGGCTTGGTGGCATGACCAAAGAAGGGAGCCAGTGCAGATGTGCTGAGAAGCGTGATAATCAGCGCAGGCCATGTTTCTGCACGGCTGATGGCAGATACGGAGAGATTTTCCTTTTCAAATTAGAGGGTTGCATTTATTTCAGTCCAGATGAAGGGGGGGTAGGAGAAACGTCAGAGACAACATAAACAAATGATGAGTGTGTCCAGCACAGCAAAGACATGGCCTCCTTTCAGAAAGTGTTTGCCCCGAGGAAAACAGAAGATGTGAACCTCTTGTGGGCTCACCTGGACCTAACACAGGCATCTCAGAAGGATTTGGCAAACAAAGAATTATTCCCATTCTGGTTTCAGTCGCTGAAGTCGACACAGGGCAGGGTGAAGGAGCACAGCTGGGGCTAGCAGGGAGCACGGGGAAGCGAGCAGGTCTAGCAGGGTTAGCCATGTGCCAGGCCCTACCAGGAAACCAGTCAGGTTCTGGGGCAAGGAGCTGAATGAGACTTCAAACGTCAGCGTCAGGTGGACTGCCCCGAGGGCTTCCGCCCTCTTTTCCCATTTGCCCAGGAAGACCACCCAGCAGAACAGAGGGGAGTCTTCACCAAGGGGCTACTCCAGCCAGGGCAGATGGGCATGGGGGCATTTCTGGGACCACATGTGACAAGTCTACAGCATTTTGGACAAGCCCCTAGACACAATGCTTGTAATAATGACACGATTCACTTGTTCAAAGGAATAACCACTGTTTAGGGGAACGTGGAAGCTTTGGGATTTCATGGAAGTCCAGGAAGCCTCAGGATTGGGATAGGAAAGGCTGTCATCAGAGAACTCGAGGGCTAAGCCTACAAAGAGGAGAGGTGAATCCGTCTGACCCGCTCCCTATGCTGGTGCCTAGGGTATGGATACAGGTGTCTATCCTCCCATTCTACTGAACTAGGAACACGACATTTACACAACAAATGAACATAAGTCAACAGGAGCCATCTCGGATGGATGGACGGACTTCCTCCGGTAACCACTCTGCCTGCTCAGAGACAGTAGCCTGCTGCTCGGCCCCCTGCCCTAGAAGGTGCTGGTGGAGGTGGTGAGACGTCTTCCGATGTAGATCCTGAGGGAACAGGAAATGACAGTTAGAGCCTAGCAGTCAATGACTGAATTAAGGGTGCGAGAAGAACCTGGAAATCGGTGATTTCCTGCTTCTCCAGCACTGGCTTCCTCTCAAAGTACCTGGAGGGTGTGGTGTCCAGGGCAGACTTGATCATCTCTTTTTATTATTTATGTGTGTGTGTGTGTGTGTGTGTGTGTGTGACATTTAGAGTTAAGTGACTTGCCCAGGGTCACACAGTGAGTGTTATGTGTCTGAGGCCAGATTTAACTCAGGTCCTCCTGACTCTAGGGCCGGTGCTCTATCCACTGTGCCACCTAGATGCTCGATCATCTCTTTTTGGAGAAGAGAAAAGTGGCATGTCACTGACTCACATTTCTGAGGCTCACGGCCCTCCGAGCTCTGGAAGGTCTCGTGTCTGGGCCTGGAGCTCTTTCCTTTCCATCCCCTGACACCCTAGAGCAGCCCTGGGCACACTAAACCTTTCTTCAAAGTCTGCAGAGACACATTTTCTTGTTCTTTCAAACCACATCAATCTTGTTCAGAAGCTACAAAACCAGTCAGGGATCACTGATGTTAATAGGAGCTTGACTTGAAACCGTGATAAAAGCCCAACCAGTGGGATCTGGGAAGCTGCTTGCGGGTGAGGTGGCGGGAGCCACAGAATCTCAAGCACCTTCAGACAAGCCTGAGGTAGATCCACTGAGCTACCAAACGGGGCCACGGCCGGATCCCCATCCAGCCCCCTGATCTCTGGCCGGATTACTGCAGCAGCCTCTCCACGAGGGCCCTCCCTTCAAGTGCAGGCCCAGGGCTACTACAAACACCTCCCTCGGCTTAGCTGTGGAAGCTGCCCATCTCCGCAGCTTCACTGAGCACAGGCTGCGATCCAGCCCAACCGTCCCGCCCCTGGTTCCTGCACATCTCTGAGCAGGCCATGCTCCATGCCAGGCACGCCCTCCTTCCTCAGCTCTGCCGCAGACTCGCCAGCCTTGCCCGGATGTTTTTCCAGATCCTCAGCAGTTAGTGCCCCAGCTCAGTGCCCTGGCGTTTACTCTGTATGCATTCTTACCAAGGTGGTGTTTCCTGCACTACAGACACCCACGCAGGGGCGGTTTCACGTCGGGCATCTCGGCCTCGAGGACGTGGCAGCAGCGTGACGGGGCGCCCACCCACCTTGGGAAGAGTCGGCGGTATTGGGGAGATTTCCCTCACGCCCAGATTAATCGGATTCTGGTTCCCACCCACTGCCAACGGGCTGCGCAGGGGCCCTTTTCCATGCGACAGCCCTAGGAACACCCTCGAAGACTCCATTCCACCGAGTCTCTAGGTGCATCATCCCCAATTTCCTCACCTCTCCGCACTGGCTGCCATCCTCGGGTCATTGTCCTCCCTGAGAGATGGCCCCTGCACCTGAACTCAGTGCCACAGACGTACGCAGGCCAGCCAATGGGCAGAGGACAGACAGGCTCTGGCAGGTGAATGGCTCCCCTAAAAGGAGCTCATGCCTGCCTCAGCTCAGCCGGTGGCTCACACCAAGTGCGCCATGCTCAAAAACCCCCGGCTTCTGCAAGAGGGTCTGGTTTCTGGTTTCCACTCTCCCTGCTCCCCCCACCAACCTGTACAGTCCCGGCACTGGTGATGTAAGGCCTAAGTCCTATTCGATTTCACCGTTCCAGCCTGGCTTGACTGACATCCGGGGGACCACATGTCTCTCCCAACTCAGTCACCTGCAGATTTGGTGAGGACACCATCTATGCTGTTACTCAAATCAGGAAGAGAGCCCCAATGTGTGCTTAGCACAGGGTCCGATACACAGTAGGCGCTTGATCTTTATTGACTGACTGACAAGCCTCTGGCAAGCTTTCAAAGCGACCCCCACATTTTAATGACCATTCTCTGGGTTTATCCATTGAGCCATGCCTCAGCTATACTCTTGTCAAACTCAAATAGAAAGGCAGGCTGCATACTAAGAAAACCACAAATTAGCATTATCTATGTTGTATTATATTTTTATTTACTTTGTGAAGCATTTCCCAGTGACATTAATCTGGTGCAGGCCACACTTGGAGTTCCTGAGGAGTGCTGTGGCCTGAAGGCCACGTGGTCCAGCCCACCGCTCCACCCCATCCACCAGATGGGCAAGAGACCTTTGTCCAAGGCTTCCCAGGCAAACTGTCTGCCAGGTAAATAAACCTGTCAAAAACAGCAATGACTGTTTTGGCTGATGCCAGACTTGGTCAGCGCTGCTCAGCTTTCTAGAGGGTCAGGAATTCCCTCTTCACATTTACCTTCCAGAACAGTGATGGAAAGCACAAGGAGAAATGGCCACTAAGACACATAAAGAGCTCCCTCTGCTGGCTTGGACGTGGCCAGTGGGAGGCATGCTGACTTAGAGACCGCAGAGTGACATTATGCGTGTTCTATTTCTAAACGTTCCCCAGTTATGCTTTAATCGGGTTTCTAACTCCCTTGGGAGTGTGGTCTGCACGGGGGCGGATGGCTTCGTCCCGATTGGTCCTCTGGAGTCCTGCGTGGCCATCGTGGTGTTTACAAGCGTGTGTCGGCCCAGCATTGTTGTTACAGTATAAAGCGTCCTCCTTATTCTGCTCGCTTCAGTTCATACCTGTCCGTCAACCAAGGAGCACCTACTAAGCGCCTACTGTGTGCCAGGCCCTGTGCTAAGTGCTGGGGATACAAAAAGGGGCAAAAGCCAGTCCCTTCCCCAGAGGAGCTTAACCTCCAGTGGGCAGACAGTGAGCAAGCACACGTGTACAAACAAGCTGGAATCAGGAGTAATGCCGGGACGGCACTGAGAGGGGTTGGGATCTGAAGGAAACCCAGGAGGATGGCGAATATTGATGCAGCACTTACTACACGCCAGGTCTGTGCTTCACACACGCCATCTCTTTGAGCCTCACAACAACCCTAGCAGGCATTTTGTTGATGAGGAAACTGAGGCAAACAAGAGTTGAAACGACTTGCCCAGGGTCACACAGTAAGTGTCTGAGAACAGGTGTGAACTCAGGCCTTCCTGACTCCCAGTCCAGCACTCACAGATGGAGCATTCCAGAAACAGCGATCAGCCAGAAAAACTGCCCAGGGCCGAGAGATGGGGTGTCTTGTTTCTGAAACTCTCCCAGAAGGTGGGTCATCAGCAGAGACTTGAGGGAATCCAGGGAAGGTGATGGGGAGGAGAAGGGCGTGTCCCAGGAATGGATTCTCCCTTTGAAACATCTCTCTGATTCCCTGGCCTCCCATCCCGTCCAGCTGAAAGCCCCTCCCTGCTAGTGCCTTTCCTGGGCCGCTGTCTCTAGGGTATCCGGGGGCGGAGCTGATTTGCATCTTGTTTCCTTTACACTGGGAGCTCACTAAGGGCAGCGACTGGTTCTTGGCCCAGAACTCAGCACTGTTACACAGCAGGGAGAGATACCTAACAAATGTGAGTAGACCCCTCAAGACCAGTGTAGCCCCACACTAACAGATGCAGACAGAGGGGATTCGGGACAGAGTCTATTTCCCACAAGACACGGGTTTTGAAGGTCAAGATTTCCAAAATGTTTCTGTAATTACCAGATGAAAAAATGACTACATTCCATTGTCACTTCTCTTGCCAAGTCTGGCATAGATCAGATGGCCACCCAGGCTTTTTCTTCCTCTAAAATTCTGTGATTTTGTGATTCCATAAATATCGCTAATTCTTTCCCGCATTCTCATTTCTGTTAAGTGAGGATGTCTAAGTCCCATTTTCTCTATGCATCTGTCCAGAAAACATTCTCTCTGGACACAGCAGCTCCGTTCCCGACGCCATGAAGGCCAATGCCTTCTCCGGCCAAAGGCTCACGCCCATCCTAGGGTAGACACACCAAGAGTGGAACACAAAGGCACTCACCCCAACCCAATGGCGAGGAAGTGAGAGAGCAGCAGGGACGGGAGGAAAACCTTCAAGAACTCCGCCGAGAAGATGCCACCCTTCTTCATGACACTCGTGTTTCTCATGCTGAGAGTGGCGGAGCGCTTTGGATGCTTAAAGAGAAACTCCCTGGGGCAAAAGGAAACGTGTTGGGATGAGTGCTCCTGGAGCGAGGGACCCCTCCCTCCTCTGCTCCCCAACCCCCCTCCTTCTGCCCCACCCCCTCTTCCTCTGCTTCCCCACCCCACCCCTGCCTCTCACTCCACTGTTCATCCACCATCAGTGCAGTGGCACCCACACTCACTTTGGGGGGATGTTTTCAGGCCTGCTGGACCAGTCCCAGATCCAGTCTGAGTTCTTCTTCAGGATGCTCTCCACTTCTTTCCGTCTCTCCATGTAATCTTCTTCAGACTAAAACAAAATGGAAGCTACTTGAAGCCCTCAGGGCCCCTTCCCGTCCAGACCCTCCCTCAGTGGCCCCAAGGAGGCCCTCGGCCAGTGCCTTAGTGACGTTGAGCATTCTCGGCATTCAGAGCCCCGTCTGGTTCCCATGAGGCAAGGGAGGCCTCGCAGAAGGGCAACAGAGCAGCCTCCTGCTGGTGCCGGGGTGGATGCACTGAGGGGCTCTTCATCAGATCATAGAAGGGACAGTAGAGGGGATGCCTGCTGTGTAGATCCAGGTGCAGCTGGATTCTGACACCCCTCCCAGCACAGAGGGTGGGGATTGGCCTCAAGGGGGGCCCTGCATCTCTGCCCACCTGGGGCACATGCCCTGTCTTACACTGACCCCATCAGAGGATGAGAGCACAGCACCAGCAACAGAGTATGCACGTGTTGTTCGAGGCCCTACAACCCAAGGTTAGTCGAAGCTGGCCACCAAGTCTGTGTGTGACCGTGCAGATTTCATGATTTTCTCCAGGACCCCAGTGACCTTCTAGCAGAAGTCAAAGAATAACTTTAAAAATGGGGAAACTGAGGCCTGGAGAGATCATGGGGCAGGCCCACAGGGAATTAGGAAGCCAAGGTGGGTCCCCAAACTCCCAAAACACAGCCCTGCAGCTTGGGCAGATGAAGGAATACCCACACACCGTGAGAGCAAGGAGCCATGTGGGCATTCACTGCTTAGTGGTATTGATTTATAAATAAACTTCTGTTGGTGAGCTTTGCGAATTCTCTCTCCGCGTGTGACTAGTATTTATCTTGAAGTGACCTCAGGGCTTGGTCACAGCTACCCAAACACTAACCACCTGCTCACACCCAGTGCCAACAGAACTGAGAGCCAGAGCAAAATCCTCCACTCGGTGGGGCCCTTGATCCCGTCGCTGAGATGCCACAGGGAACAGGTGCCAGGTGGGACACCCCATTAGGGAAGAGCGCCCCATCCCCCCACCCTTCCTCCATCGGGTGCTGCCCTCGAGACCCTCTGACATGCCCCCTCCCCCCTTACCTGGGAGCTGTTCTTTTCTCCAATGCTGTGAGTATCCGTTTCAGAAGTTCTGTTAATATCTTGGGGTGTCTGTGAACGAGGCGGGCTTGACAAAAACAAGGGTTAGGGGCAAAGGGCAAAGACATGCTGTTAGCATTCCTTTTTCAGTGTGAGATGCCAGAGAGCAAAGCTACAGATGGGTGATCTGAGTAACCGGAGTCAGAATCCTACCCCCAGGATGGCCTGGAGCGTCTGACTTGGCCTTTATGCTCCAAGTATCGAGACCCTTTCTGCTAAGTCAGCCAACCAAGCAGCTGGCTCTGCCCCATCCCCCCTTCATTGCAGGCTGTGATCTCTGGGGCCCAACAGAACAAGTCTGATCCCCCTTCAGATAACTGAACCGGCCCCCTGCCCCTTTCTGTCCTTCAGATCCCCCGCATACAACATGTCCCGGTCTCCTTCCTCTGCACCCTCTCCAGCACGTCCGTGGTCTTCCTGACCTGTGACCAGTTCAGCCAGAACTGAACAGACCTCCCGGTGAAATGTGGGGTGGGCAGAGGGCCTTGGGCTGTCCCCTGCCCTACTCCTGGCAGCTCAATGTCTACACATGAAGTCCTGTCGGACACTCCTTCTCATTACTGACTCCCATTAGACGTAGATCCACTGAAACCCCGGCGTTTTTCAGATGACTGTTCACCGTGCCTCCTCCCACCCTAACACGGAGCATTTATCCAAACAGAATTCCAGTTTCTCAGACTATTTCCAACGTTCTAGCTTGTCCAGAGCTCGGAGTTCTAGCTTTCATCCAATGTTGGCTTTCCATTATCCGTAGCCTTATTCATGGCAAGGAGAATGGCACAGATCCACGGGGCGCTCCACTGGAGACCTTCTGCCAAGCTGACGTTCTGAGTTGTTCCACTCACCCAAACTGACTTTGTGGGTATTAGGCAGATGCTTCAGTTGTAGGCTTGAGTTTACTTACGTTGTCTCCTGCTGTAGGATGTACGGTTCATCAAGGCAGGGAATGTCTCATTTTCTCTTTGAATCCCTGGTGTCTGGCACCCAGTAAGCGATTAACACGTGCTTTTGGTCCATTTATTCCTGGCCCCTTTCTTGGATCTGGCCTCCTGTGAACTTCTGGCTGTCCCCCAATGCAATTATTCTTTTTCCTTCATGGTAGTTTCTATGCCCGGGGTCAGACTTCGTGGAGACACCTGGGCAGTCTTTGCTTTCTCCTGACCTTTTGAGTTTGAAGACTTTCGGATGATATTTACAAGACACCAGGCAACTATGTCTTTCCCAACCCACGTTAGGTATGCTCTGTCCTTGGTCAGAAGTCTATCATGCCTAGGTTTAAAAACCCCGGGCCACAAGTCTACGTTCCTTTCTCAGGAGCCATCTTCCTCGCTAGCCACGGAAAATGTTGTATCATGGAAACACACCCAGCAAAGATGACAGGCATCTGTCTCTGTTGTTCTCCAGCTGGCTGACAGCCGCCTCAACGCCCCAACCAGCCACCCATCACCTTCTCTTCTTCGTCTGACTCTTACTAAGGGATTCTAGCTCCTCAGGACTTCTGGGACTCTCCATTATCAAGAATTCCTCCAAACACCAGCAGATAGATGCTTCCTTCTCAGAAGATTCGGCTCCCTCCTCTTCAAAAAGAGCCTCCAATTTGTATTTAGCACCAAGTTAAGTCATCCTTTTCCCCCCCTTCCTCCTTTCTCCCACCTCCTGACAAAGGTCCAGTTTCCCCTCCCCCACTTCAGATCCTTTTCCTCCCCTCGAAGCCCAGTTGTCACCACATTTAAAAGAACATTTGAGTGCCCTGTTAATGTGGAAATCACACCGTGATCATGGGTTAAAGGAACTAATTATGTTCATCCTGAAGAAGAAAGAATTGAGGAAAACAAGACATTTGTAAACGAGTAGCTGAAAGCCCCTCCTAAGGAAAGTTCTTCTGCTTGGACCAAGTTATGCTTGATGTCAGAAAGCTCTCCCAAAGGGAAGGGGGGCCGACTGGGGAGGCGACAGGCTCCCCCTCACTGGAGGCTACAGAACCAGCTATTGGCTATGTGGTAGAAGAAATCCGGGCCAGATACCTCTGACAGTCAGAGGAGATCCAATTAGAGGACTGCCCACAGTTCATAGGGAAAATCATAAAATTCTCTTTTGAAGGCCAGGGATTCAGCAAAAGTGTTCAAGAAGGTGCTTTTACACAAGACTCTAGAAATCTTCCAGTCCCATCAACTTACAGATTAAGGAAACTGAGGCCCAAAGAGAAGAAAGGCTTTGCGCAAAGTCACCTTTTCCCAAATGTTGGAGTTAGAACTGAAACTGGGTATTTTGACTCCAAACCTGACCCCTGCCAGCCTACTGTGACTGCCTCAGCGCCTTCCAGCCCATACTGTCCCTCCTCCCAGGCTGGGCAGTGGCCATTGAAGAAGGGGAGAGGCAAACGCCCACCCACGGCCAGGGGTCACCTACCTGTCACAGTGAGAGCTCTTGGAGCTGCTCCGCCCAGACTCGTGCTGTGCATCCAGAAGGATCTTTTCCATGTCGCCATTATAAGCGGAGATGGAGGCTGGCACAGCGCTGTGGCCGTTGCCATTACTGCTGAAGTGCAGCTCCACCCAAGAGCCTGTGGGGACAAAGCCAGGGGCAAAGCTGAAGGACACCGCCCAGCCTGCCCTCACATGTGCCGCAGGTCATGAGACCCACGTGCAACAAGAGCTCAGACATCATCTCTGTGGCCTAAGCAGATCACCAAGCTACCGGAGCGTCCGCTTCCTCATCTGTAAAATGGAGAGGTGAATACCCACACATCCTGCCTCCTGGGGTTGGCTGAGGAAAGCACTCTGTATTAATATCACATGTTACTGATATGGGAGTCATTACTAAGGCAGGGTAGGCCCTTGATTCACCAAAAGGGTTCTCTCTCAGAGCATCAAGGGAAATGACAACAACAAATATGTGGGGATTCAGTGGAAGAAAATTCCCGAGTCAGTGGGTCCTGGCGCCCCGTGCCCGGTCAGGTTCCTGTCTCCCGCCTTGCTCTGAGCCTCGGTCAGCTGAGAGGCAACGGGCCCAAATCATGTCTGATTCTGCTTCTGCGGCTGTACAAGTCACCTTGGCTAAGTGCCTGCCCCACTCTGGCCCCAGTGTCTTCCTCTGTAGACAGGGGATTAGACTTCAGGACGCCCTGGATCCAGGGAGCTGGCCAGCTGTGCTTTGAGATATCTGTGAAGGGCTTAGCCCAGAGCCTGTAATATGGCCAGCGCTCAGTGAATTTGTTCCCTTGGCCTCTTTGAGACACAGAGGTAGATGGAGGTTCTCAGTAGATTAAGAAGCCCTGAAAGGGAAAGTATTTTCTGACATCTTGTAACTGCTTAGGAATGTGAGCCCCTCTCCACTCCAAATGGTCATACGGACATTTGTGCCTGACCCGAGATAGAGCCTCCTGAGCTTGGACTGGTCCAACCAGCCACAGTTGGACACACTGAATGTTGACATTGTGATGTCATTTTGGTCACTTTTTCAAATGTGCTGTAAGTTGGTGTTTACAATGAGAGGGCGAATTTCTGGCCTTCCCCTAAATCCTGTTGCCCAAAGAACTAGAGGAAACAAAGTGAATGCCTGTAAATTGGGGAATGGGAACCAATGAAGAATTTAAAACACACACACACACAGACACACACACACTGCTATTATGGGGGAAAAGGCCCTAAGTTCTGGTGAGGTCTTTTCCTTGGGGGTTAATCAGATAAGAGAAAGCACTCAGAAATGCGCAGTTTGAAGCTGGAACTCACTGTCACCAAGCATAAACCATCCTGCTTGCCTTTCAACGAGGTCGAGACACTGGCCTCTGCTCCTTACCACTTGGGATCCTGTGGGAGAGTCCTTCACCTCTCTGGCCCTTGCTGGCCTCATCTAGAAAGGCGGGGCATTGGATTAGGTGGCCTAAGAGTCCCAGGAGGCTCGCACCCGAGGGCCCGACGCCTATGAGCTCAGCAAAGAGCTGGACCCTGTTTCCCCAGTGTTTCCTGCCAAGAGCACAGGAAGCGGCCAGCACAGTAGCTGGCTCGTCCCAGAGTGTGCGTCCCTGCAAAGGGCGGGAAGCCAGGCACTGAGGGACCCAAGCCTGCTCACAAGGAGCCCTCTGTCTCTAAATATGTCGTGTCTGTGAGAAAAAACCCAGCCAATGGCCCACTTCATTCAAAGAGCCTGGGAGATGGATAAGCAAACTTGATTACAGGCAAGAGCCCAAGCTTGGCCCTTTATAATGCCCACACACATCCTTGAAGGCATGGCTAGTTTGAAAAATTTCCCACATTAGTCGTGCTATTCAGGAAAGGCCCAGACGTGGGGAAAATGTCCAAGGACAAGTCTGGCTTTCTAAATGAGCATCTCGGAATACAACGAGCAAGAAGGTACACACACAGATGCTCAGGAAACTGGAACTTGGCCTCATGGACGTGTTAGGGCAACACCAGGGGGAGGCACAGTCAGGATTTTCACATACAGATCAACCCACCCAATTTTTCAACAAGTTTGGAAGGATGCCCTCGGTACAAAGTAGCCTGGTGCTCTCCTTCCTCACCTTGCCCCTAGACTGTGCGATATCCTGCTGGCAAGTCTACCGGCCCCCAAGCCCTCCCCAAGTCCACTCATCTCTGAAATGGACCTTTCCTACAGGCAGGTCTGACTCATTACGTCCTCTGTTGAGTAACTCCAACGGCTCCCCTCACTCCTCCACCGACAAGGCCCCTGCCCACCTTTCCAGTCTTCTTACCCATTATTCTGTTCCTCAACACACACACACTCTCACATACTCACTCATACACACACACACTTTCTCTGTCTCATCCCATCACCATTAGCCTAATCTCTGTTCCTCACACAAAAAAACCTGGAGTCTTTCCACTCTGGGCCCCGTTTTCATTGGCTCTCCCTCATGCCTGGACTGTTCTCCCTCCTCATTTCTACCTCCTGCCTTCAGGTATCAGCTGGTCCTTCCTGGCGGCCCTCAATGCAGCGCCTTTCCTCTGGAGGGACCTCCAGTTTGCCCTCTACAGATCTCATTGTTGTCTCCCTGTCAGACTGAGCTCCTTGAAGCTGTCGCTGCCTTTGGCTTTTTTTTTTTTAATGCCCAGTGCTCAGCACGGTTCTTGGCACACAGCAGGTATTTATTGAGCTTGCTGGCTTGACTTCTGAAGAATGCCTTTTCCCATCCTTTGATCACCTGTCCATTAGACTCTAATGGGCCCATATGGAGTCATGACCCACCGTTTAAAAGCCCTGAATTAGAGAACAAATTCTGCACGGAAGACGATTCTGGCCCCCTCCCACACGACATGAGGCGCTCTGCGAGACAGAACAGAGGAGGTGGCTGGGAGGGAACATGGCAGAAGAGGCTCTCCTGCAGGGCACCGTTCGACGGGTCCTGTGTGGCCCCAAAGGGCAGAATGAGGAAGGCCGGGTAGAAGCTGCAAAGTTGCCCACTTCAGACGGAGGCCAGGAGAGCTGGCTTGCGGGATCCTGGATGGGGACTTACCTACCCCAGGATGGACCTTCCAGGAAGGCTTTCCATGAAGGTGGTACTCCATTAGAAGATAAGTTCCCAGAGGACAGAACCGCCTTTGCTCTTCTTGGTCTCCTCGGTGACTAATACAATACAAGACTTGGCACATAGCACGGTCTTCAGAAATGCTTGTTGACCGGCTGGGCTGAGGGGGATGTCAGGAAGGGGTTGGGCTAGGTAGTCCCTGGGATCCCTTCCAACTCTAAAATATTTTTGCATTTATTTACCTCTTGTATCCCCCAGGAACACAGAAAGTTGTGGAGGGCAGGGACTATTCCAAAATTCTGGTCTTTGTAGCCCCAGTGCTGAACACACAGTCAACACTTAATAACTTGCTTTCTTTTTTTTAATTGAACTAAGTTTTCAGAGTAAATAAACCATAAACTTAGAGCAAAGAACTGGCAACTGAGGGTGCCCAGAAACTGGAAACTAGCTAAACAAACTATAGTGTATAAATGTAACTGAATGTTACTGTGCCACATGAAAAAAAGAGTGGGGAGAGGTTCAGAGAAACCCAGGAAGATTTATGAACTGATTCAGAGTGCCGGGAGGACAGTGAGCAGGACGAAGGCAAAGAAAGCGTGTCATTTCTACAACAGCACTGTGAAGAAAAAAAAAAATCAACTTTGAAAGCCTTAAGAACTCCAATCACTGCAGTGACCAACCCCAAGGCCAGAGGACCAAGGCCAGAACTTGTTACTCCACTGGGGACCTAGAGGTGACAGCCTCAAAGTGAAGAAGGAAACAACCTAGGAGATGGCCAATATGGGAATTTGGTTTTTTTCTGATTATGGATGTGATAAGGATTTTTTCTTTTTAAATCAATGAGGGATGGTGAAAGGAAAAGGTGGTCCAGGCTTAATGAGGCCCAAAAAAAGAGAAAGAAAAGTGGGACATTTAAATTTTTTTTTTTAATTCACAATAGAGAACAGAAGGAAAGCTAAAAAGAAACAGATAAGCAGACCACCTTTCAAAGTTAAATGTTGAATTAATCACCTACTTAAAGATAAAGGTCTACAAAAGATGTGCAGGCTCATCTGCATTCCTCAGTTCTCCTTTACATATGGAAATACTGATTTATTTGGGGTTTCTTAAGTACAAAATTATTCAAATGAAGGCAGGCCTCGGTGCCTTTCCATCTGGGATACCATTAGCCCCACAGGCAAGGCAGCTCCAGGCACTCTGATTATGGGGGCGGGCCCTGGGCACAAGGCTGTGCTGTGAGCAGCCTGAGGTCTCAGAAGGAGGGGCCTTCCCTTTTCTCTCAAGTATACCTGGGGCTGAGGCGACTCCCCCTCTCCAGCTCTCACTCAGTTTTCCTTCTCCCAGGAGGACAGACTAGATCACCTCTAAAAACTATGTTGACTACGACTTTCTTTGATTCCCTTTCCCATCTATTTTGAAGAACAGAAACAAGGATTTTTGCATGTTTCTGTTTTTCTCCCTTCCATATTGTTTCCCCAGAGCTGGGCTACTCCACAGAATTTAAGGGTAGGAAGGGATTTCCATGGTCAATTAGTCCAAATGCTGCCTAACAAAGCACCCCCTGGGCTTCACACAAGGAGTGTAATTGTCCAAGTCCTGGCCTGAAGCCCTTCTGGAAGAAGGACCCCACCTCTCCAAGGATAAGACCACCTTCGCACAGCTCTAGAGGTGGGAACAAGCCTCTGGGCTGCTTCAGCACTGGGCTCCACCCTCTGTTCTCGGGCCAAGGAGAAGAGCCCCTTCCCCGGGAGAGCACCTCAAATACTAGAAGCCAGTACTCATGGATCCCACCCCCCCACTACTGCCATAACACCTCGTATGAAGAATGTGTCAATAAACCTCAAGGCATGATATCAGGCAGAGCGAGTTACTATTTAAATCATTATTATTAAGTCTGATTTTCTACAAGGAAGAGTTCATAGATGCTACTCATAGCACCGGCAGCAGGGTGGGCTGATGAACAGAATGCTGCATTTGGAAGCAGCATTCATCCCAGCCACTGAGGACCTGGGAAAAGATCGTGGCTTTCTGGGCCCCAAGTTACCTAACTGGAAAATAGGGGATTGGACTAGATCTGACCATCAGCAACAACTTATGAAGCACCTACGGTCTGCTGAATATTGTGCTAGGTGCTGAAGAGGCTAAGATAAAAGCCTTCCAGGAACGTAAAGCTGGCTGAGGCCCACAAATGAGCAGTGGAGGAGGTAGACGCCAGCAGCCTGTGGCCTTAGATGATCCAAAGGGCCCTTCCATCTCTAAGGTGAGAAATGCTTGGGAGCCCAGTTGCTCTCTGTCCCCGGGACACCCCATTTAGGGAGCTGGAAGGGGAAAGGAAACCAATCCTAACATCCCTCCCTCCCTCCCCATCATGATTTATTAGAAGGCAGGGGGAAAGGAAAGGAACCTTCAAAACCACGGAATCAGCTGCTGGGGCTCTCTGAGCATCCTGGTCCTAGGACAGAGACAGGGAAGCACCTGGACTTGGCACCGTCTGGACTTGGCTGGCCCACACTTTACGCCCCCTCAGCCAGCGTTAGGATGGAGTAGGTTGAAGCGGAGCCGTGCCATGATACAAACTTAACTGGGCAGTCACTCCTGCCTTTGCCCAGTGTGGGGCAGCTGCCTATCCCCACATGATGGCACCAACAGCAACTGAGCCCTGGAGGAGGCTGTGAGTGCTGGGCTGCACGTACGCGGGCTGGGCTGGATGCAAGTTTCCACTCGTTTACATGTGTGTCACCAGCTTGTTCTAGGTAGAATAATGGTGGTGGAGGGAAACGGCCCCAGCTGAAGTCCTGCAGTAGCCAGCCCATCCTCCCACCCCCCATGATTCAGCAGGAAGTTAACCGAGCATTGGGAGGCCCCCACTCTGTACTCCCAAAGAGTTTAAATTTAGATTTTAATGCAGAGGCAAAATGCCCAATGCAAGCCAGCTCCTAGGGACTCTAGTTGCTAGGAAAGATGACTGAGCTAAATAAGATTTTAAAAGCCCATTACCTCTGACAGATTTAAATTATGAGAAAATGCCAAAAAGCCACATAAATGAAGACCAAGTGAAAAGGCAGCTGGAATTGGAGGGAAGTCTGATTGCTGCCTGGCCCAGTCCAAACAGCAAGTGATTTGGGCCTGAGGCCCTGGGTCCCAGCCCCAGCTTCGCCCCTTATCTGCGTGACTTGGGCAACTCAGTCAGATAGCTAGAACTAGCTGGCCTTAAGGGTCCTGTCCAGCTCTGAGTCCAGAAGCCTAGGACTGGGTGAGTTAGGGAATAGCTCAAAGGCCTCAAGCGGAAAGGGACTTCATTTATAGGTAGGCAAACTGAGGCTCAGAGGGGCTCAGATCCTGCCCAAGACACACCTTCAGTAAGTAAAGTAGCCTAGCCAGACTTTCCCTATGCTGGGCTGCCCTTCTACTTGTGAGGAAGATCCCAGAAGCAGCTAGCTAGGGGGCCTTAGGTATGGAGAGCTACCCCAGGAGCCAGACACCTCCCGGCCTTAAGACCAGCCAGTCCCCATGCCTCAGTGCCCTGGGCCACAGAGAGGGTGGCCCAACCCTCACTTAGCAACTCCATGTTCCCATCCCAAAGAAATCACATCCTAGTTTCTATCCCAGCTTCTCCCCCTAAGTGCTGTCTTATAGAGGTCAGATTTTTAAGGAATAGTAATAGCTTGTACTTCCTTATGGAAGTACAGATTTGGATTGGAAGGGACTCCAAGGTCGTCCAGTCCAACCCTTTCTTGGACTTGACGCTGGGTCTTCCTGACATCAGGCCTATGCTCTAACCACTGAGTCACTGAGCTGCCTCCATGTAGATGTTGCTTGCAATTTTTTTTAAAGTCTATCCCCAGGACCTAGCACAGTGCCTATCACACTATGGGAAATGCTAGTTGAACTGAATTGTACCTGACTGCCTTTCTATTAGACGCAGTTAAATCTAATACAATGGGTCTTCTAAGTAATCTAGATATGGTGTACAGGCCACATTTGCTTTCCAAAGCCTGGGGGGGGGGGGGGGGGGGAACTACAGGCTAGTACAGGCTAGCCCTCGGGGGGGGGGGGGGGGGGGCAGGGCAGCAGTTATCCTGGGGTGATGGGGCTGGACAACTATTTCCATAAAGGAAATGCTGGCAGTCTGGGGCCTGGTGGCCATATTCCTAGATTCTAACCTCCAGGTTACAGATCAAGAAGACCTGGTTCCCCAGAAGGGTGGCCCAGTGAATCTTCATTCCTAATCTACAGCCCCATTCTCTCCCAAACCCATCCCTACCCCACCCTTTAAGCCCAAGAGATAAAGGGGCTTCTATCACTTTTCCTGCAGCCTTTTCAGAGGCCCCTTTCCAACTTTAAGGGGACGGATTTGGGGGGGCCTGGAGCCTGGGTGATGTTTTCCAAGGGCAAGCCCAGAGCAGCCGCTGAGCTCTGGCCCTTCTTGGTTAATGATTGCTAAAGCCCACAGAGGCTGAATACATTATACACACACATACATACACACACACACACACACACACACACACACACACAGAAAGAGAGAGAGAGAGAGAGAAAAAGACAGTTTGCAATGACTGCACTATCTCCCAGGAGGAGTCAGAGAAGTTGGGCTCAACTCTTCCTACTGTCCAGTTCAAGACCAGATTTTTTCTTCCTCAACAGAGGATCTTCTGGGCCATGAGTCTCCTTGACCAAAGGATGAAAACAGGAGCCTCCTCCCGTGGACTTGAGATCCTGGGAAAGCTCAGCCATCAAGCCCCCACCAAGTAAAACACCAACGTCCCTGAGTCGGCCCTGGGGAACCTGTCCCTTACATGAAGGCTAACTTAGCAGCCTGTTTTTAACCTCCAGGGTGACCCCCTCACTGGGGAAGTGTGGTCAAAGCAGCTCAGGCCCTGGCTCCTCCTTGGTTAAAGGTCTTATTTGGGAAGGTCCTCACCTGGACTCTGCCCAGTCTACTCAGCCCTGAGAGTTCAAGGTGTTTCCCCTGAGTAAACTCAGTTACCACAGTCGCTGGAGCCCCAGAGAGTAGCTTCACAGGCTTTGACAAAGGATACTAACTAAGTAACACCCCCATGCTAAGGTTCAGATTCTGCTGACTGACTCAATAAGGGGAACCATTCAAGATGGTAACGAAGTCCCAGGCAGATCCGTAAAAGCCTCCCTCCCTGGGGACTCACTGCCCTCCTCTCCAGAGAATCCCAAGTGGGCTACGGTCCCCTTACCCCGCCCAGCCAGCAGTAGGCCCCGAGTGCCGCTGTACCAGGGCTTGCTTCTCTTTTTCTTATTTGAGGGTAGGCACTGAGAAGAGGGCACCAAAATGATTGATTTACAATAGCCGGGCCAGAACTCACTGGGCTAAAACGGGACAGGTTCTGCTTCACTTTCCACAATCGGTTTGTATGGGGGGACTCCCTTGGGACCCCCGGAATGATCATGTAATGTCTGATGTGGGGAGATCACACCGTCTCAGCCCCCTTCATCATCCCTCATCTCTTGGGGGGGGGGGGGGGGGGGAACCCCGGAGACGAGGGAGGAGAAACCTTGGTGTCAGGGGGCGGTGGAGGGAGTTGACCTTAGGACCCCAGCCTGGACCCCCACGTTCTTCGAGTCACGCTTGGGCTCAAGCGCTGCCTTTCCCAGGTTGAGATCTCAACTTCTCCGCCTCAGCCTCCAGGAGGGCTGAGTAGTGGGAGGGCAGACATCCACTCACCCACTCCTGGAGCCCACGCCGCCCACCGGCCCCGAGCCCAGGCTCCAAATCCCTCGAACAGGAGCCTCTCCGCCCCCCCCCACCCCTTCCCAGGACCCTCGGGTCCCACTGCCCTCCAGTCTCCGGAGCTGCCGCTGCCCTCCCGGAGCAGGGGGGCAGAGGACTGGGGAGACTGGGGG